GGCAAGGCTCCTGCTTCTGGTGGGCCCTAAAGGTGGCCTGGGCCAGGGTTTCTCTTATACCCGAAATATTCCAACATGGAGACCCAAAGGAGGCCCCTCTCGGTGGGAGTTCCATGTGCCCAAGGACTGTTGCATGCCAAGGAAAAACAAAATTTGCTAGCTGAATATTTTTTAGACATTTTGCAAGATGCACAGCCTCCCTGACAATTTTTAATGTACTAACTGCCTGGTCCAGTGAGCTGATTAATTGGTGCTGGAGAGATCAATAAAAAACAGAAAATTAAAACAATTTTAAAGTGATTAAGTAGTTTAACACCTGTCTCCCGTCACGTCAGCACAGGAAGAAAAATAAAGCAGGTGTCGAAGGGGCCTCCTGAAGCAAGAGAAAACAGCGCTTGCAGCAGAGATGACAAATCACAGCTGGAGATCAATCTGCTGCAGCAGCCCTTCTCAGGGCCTTGTGCGGAGCAGCAGGAACAAGGAACAGGGCCAAGCAGGGCTGAGGCCTTGGTCACCACCCCCTGCTCATTAGGGTGTCTCTGTAGGTCCTGAAGTCAGGGCGGCAGAGCTTGGGGAGCCTAAGGACAACTTGCATGGGACCAAGTGGGAAGACCGCAGCCACCACCCTATCTGCTTCAGCCATTCTGACCTTCATTGATGGTCCATGGGGGGATGGCGTGTTAAAATGTACTTCAGTGTGGTTCCGTCCAAAGGAAACAACTGTCACAGCTGTCCAGGATTACCAGACCCTCTTTTCTGAAAGCATCAGGAAAGGTCTCATCCCTTCCCAGCAAGGCAGATTCCCACCCCAACTTCCTTCTTGCTCGGGCTGTGCTGGCATAACACAGAAGTACTGGTAGGCGATGCCCAAATGCCCTTTGTGATGTCTTTGTGCCAGCAAAGAGAACAGGCCTCTCCTTTTCCCATGGCTTGATGCCTTCAACTGACCTCACAGAAGTCAGCTCAGAGCAGAGCGAACTCCAAGATTCTTTCCCCTTTCCCCACCAAATCCCTGTCAGAGTAGAGTGAAACTAAGCAGAGGTGGGTCAACAAAGGTTAAAGGCAGGGCCCCAAGAGAAACATCACAGAAAAGTTGTCTGCTTCACCTTTAGAATGGCTGTGAGCTGGGTGTAGTGTGACACATCTGTGATCTTAGCGCTCAGCAAGCTGTGGAGTAGAACAAGGTCAAGGTCAACCAAGGCTACATAGCAAGACTTAGGGAAAAAAAAGCCCCAAACAGGCCAGGCATGGTGCTGCATGCCTTTAATCCCACCCAGCACGCTGTAGGCAAAAGCAGGTGGATTTCTCTGAGTTTGAGGCCAGCCTGGTCTACATAGGGAGTTCCAGACCAAGCAGCCAAGCAGTACTATGCTAATACACACTTGCCCTCAAAGTTCCTTTTCACCTTTGAGGTCCTCTGATGGCAGTTCTGCCAACCCTAGAGCAGGGTAGAGAAGGAAACCCGAACGACTACTGAGAATGCCTGCAGAAGACGGGAAACATCAGAGCTCTCCACCGACCTCTATTTTACTTATTTTTGTGTGCATTGTTGGCACGTTTGTAAGTGCACCATGTCGTGCAATGCCCACAAAGGTTAGAAGAGAGCCATCTGATTCCCCTAAACTGGAGTTATGGATGATTGTTAGCTGCCATGTAGGTGCTGGGAATCAAATCCGGGTTCTCTGCAGTATCAGCCAGTTCTCTTAACCGCAGAGCCATCTCTCCAGCCCACACTTATTTTTTAAAGACAGAATCTTTGTGTGTAGCTTTCGCTGGCCTAGAACCATGCAGCCCAGTTTAGCCCAAACTAAGAGAGCCACATCCGTCTCCCGAGTGCTGGGATTAAAGGAATGCACACCACCTGGCTCACAGACTTCTGCCAGGGATTCCACATCCTCCTGTTCTATCACTGCCCACACCACTAGAGGACAGGATGGCTGAAACGGGTAGGGCCAGGGAGAAAGTCCTCCAGCTCTTCATTTGTTCAAAGTGCTTTCAAGTTATTTTACGCGTGTGAGTGTATGCCCACAGAGGCCAGAGGAAGGTGTTAGATCCCCTGGAACTGCAGTTATAAGTAGTTGTGAGCTGCCCAAATGTGGTACGAGGAACTGAACCAGCAGCAAGTACTCTTCAGTGCTCAGTCATCTCTCCAGCTCCCAGCTGTTAGTTTTGACAAGCAGGACTGAACAGCCAGTCTTCCCTTTCCCCAGTGTCCCTTTAGGCAAGGCTGGGCTGCTCCTGGAGAAAGCAAGTGATCTACAAGGGAGACTTCAGGTGTCAGAACCTTTCCTTTGTTCAGCAAACATGCCAATGAAGAAAGGGAAAGACTCCCTATCTTCAGCTATTGACTCACTTCCAAGAGCAATCAACATCCACTGTCTTTCAGCATTTCCTGACCTGCACGTGGCTTTGGTAATTTGGCCAATTTGGCCGGGGAGGCAGCTAAGAGGCCTATGGTCCAAATTCTCTGGTCTAATGAAAACATCTGCTTGCAGAGGCGTTTGCTTCAGGGTTCCCTTGACCCTGAAAGAGGTGACCTGGGTGTCCCAGGGTCTCTGAGTGCCATCCAAAGAGTCGTCAAGCAGGGGAGTACAGCCCACCTGGGAACTGCATTGCTCAGTAGCCAATACAAATTCTTGACTCTGCAAAGCTAGCCTGCTGCTGCTCCCTGCAGAGTAAGCTCCACACTGACTGAGATAAAGTTTTCCTGGGCCCAAGTTCCAAACTCTGCTGTTTTGTTTCTGTTAAAATGCAATTGTTTTTCTCTGGAGTCTGCAGTGACTGCTCAGCGTCAGGAAGATGTATGAAAATCTCCACTTCAATTCAGCATCTCTTTTCTTCCAGACAAACACGGCCGGATTTTAATAAATCAAAGAGCTACACTGTTTAATAAAAATTTATTGACTTACAAGTGATTATTTATCAAAAGACCATTAATAGCAGGTACTGAAATGATGTGTTACTGGGTGGTGCTGGGAGACTAATAGGAAATCAATGCAGCGGGCCAGACAGAATGCATATGAGAAACCCACCCCCCAACAGCGAGCAAAATTTCACCAGCAAAATACACCAGACGCTAGCCCTGGTGCAGTGAAAAGTTCCTCCTTTTTATTTATCGTTTACAAATGAAATGATCAATACTTTTAATCTAGAGCAAAATTTATTAACTTTCCCATCGGGGAGAGACATATTGACTAGAGGAGAGGGGAGTGCGAGCGACAAAAGATGGATGGTTGGATGGTCGTCTCTTAGACTGTCCAAGAGTCGAGTGCATTAGCTGCCTTTTAGTTGGGACATCTCAGGCCACACAGGATGATGTACCTGGAGAAACTGAGTCTGGCCACCACGATGCACAGCAGCCAGATAGCACCTGTAGCACACAGTGGCATCTTCCAAACATCAGGGGTTGGCAGGAAGCACCACCTATGAAACTAGGGTTATGGTAAATTCTAGAAGGGAGGCCAGATTTCCACAGGGCAACTGGGTTAACACCCACTGACAATTCTGTCAAGATCCAAAAATTCCTTGCTGGTAACTTGGCACCATCCCTCACACAAGCTCTTTTCCATCTTTGAAGGGTTCTGGAATATCAGGAGGTTACCTTAAACAGCTCCTGTAAGCAAAGCTCGCAGCGGCCCTGGTCTGGTTGACAGCCTTCTACTGAGCTCCCTTTCTCTACCAGGGGATTTCACTGGCCTATTTAGAAAGCTCTTTCTCCAACTAGCTGAAAACAGTCTATGAGTGAAAATAGTCTATGATTTTAATTCAAATCCACCAGCTGAGTTGTGGACCCACCACAAATCCCTTGGGGACACCGCAATGTTTCATTTTCCTAGCTGAGTTTGTCAGAGGGAGCAAACAGCTCAAAACAGACTTCTATTTCAGAACTCATACGACTTTTAGGCTCAAAGCCCAAGAATCAACAATGGGGTAAAAATTAATGAAATCTGGGCTAGAGTGAGAGCTGTCAGTAAAGCACGCTTACCTTGCAAGCATCAAGAGATGAGTTTGATCCCCCAAGAACCCATATAAAAAAAGCTGGACAAGGTGGCTTGCACTATTTAATCCCAGTGCCAGGGAGGTGGAGGCAGGTAGCTCACTGGCCAGTCTGCCTGGCCTACTTGGCAAGCTCCAGGCCAGTGAGACCCTTGTCTCAAAGAAACAAGGTAAGCAGAACCTGAGGGGTGGATGGCTGAGGTTATCCTCTGGTTTCCAGATGTACACCGATACGAGTGTAACTACAAACATACAGACATGCACACACGAGAATCACGGACATTTCATAGGCAGATAATGCCTCTAAGGTCACCTTGCTGAAGTCAGAAGTAGATGTAGAGGAATAAAGACAACGCAGCGAAGGAGCAGCAGGCGTGCAAGTGGGGCTCCAGGCTGCTCTGGACTCTGACGGGTGAGCAGTGTTATCGTGCTGCTTTCTATTCCTAGATGTTATAAATTTTTAGACATAGGACCAACTCAGGAACTCCATTCCAGTCTCTGGGGCCTGTAGGATCCACAGTTGAAAAGGATCGACAGCAGACTGGCCTGACTGCCTGGGACAAGTACTGAAGGATGTAAGAGCTGCATTTCCTCCTTACTGCTGTCACTGGTAACACAGGTGTGCAGGATGTGAGCCAAGTAAAATAAACTACACAAACTTCCTATGCAAATCATGAAATAAAAGCAATAAAGCATGATCAGAAGTTTTAAAGGAACCGATCTCAAAGCCAGGCATGGTAGCACACGCCCTTTGTCCCAGCACTGGGGAGGCAGAGGCAGGCGGATCACTGAGTTCAAGGCCAGCCTGGTCTACATACTGAGTTCCAGGACAGCTGGGGCTACAGTGAGACCCTGTCTCAAAAAGACAAAA